AAACACAGTAGCGACAATCCGACAGCGGCGACACGCCGTCTTCTCCGAATGAGCTTCTACCGTTCTAATTCAGATTCCCCCAAAAATTCCAAAATAAATAATAGATTTCCACCAAGCTCGCTAGAATCTTGCGAACCGTCAACATGCAGGCATTTCAAGTGTTCGAGCGTGCGTAGATTCTGCTCAGCGGCTCAAGAACATTCGCCAAGCGAAAAAAAGTCGATGAGAAAGATGTAATGGTGGACGAGATTACGAAAATCGGAAGAAGGTATTCGACCCAGTTCGACTATCCAGGACTGGATTGGCAACGTCCAACAAACGGATTCGTATTCTATGGGGTCTCATGAGCTAGTGTGCCAAAGGGCGTTTAGTTGGAGCTTCAGTGCATCACCTTCGCCGAAAGAGGCCCTTTCTGAGATTTGGCCGATGGACTAACTGGTGTGCACACCAAATCCAATGCAACGCTCCACTCCATGGCAATGCAGCGCGCCACTACAATCATGTATATTGTCATGTAGCTGTTCCTTGAATGAGGCACTAGTAGCTGGCTGTTTATTTTTACAGACGGATCATTGAGTTCTACATTGTCCTTGGCCTCGGACCCTTTCAAGGAACGTACATCATACATGTAGATAGTACAATGACTATGTGCATGTACTTGAGGTGTCGACAGTGTACATGTACATGTAGTTTGATTCATAGTGTTGGTACTGAGTGCGCACGTCAAAGGCCCTGGGGAGAGAGATTGCACTGAGCCGGCAATCTAAAATGGATAATTATTTTTTAGAAAATTAATGATGATGGGCACGAGCGATATTGTTCCTACCCCGCTGTTGTTCATTCTCGGACGGTGACATGTTCGCAACGTTCCTATGGAATTTTTCCGTGGTGAAGAAAACAATAATTATATTCACGGTATGAAACGAGTGAGTTGCGCCCACTTGCCGTACGCTTTTACTCTGGGCTCGGGTGGCGAATAGGCTCAGGCGGATTATGCTCGCGGATTCATGGAATTGTGCTTTCATGGATTCTCGCACTGTGCTCGCAAAATTCTCATAATAATTATGCTTTGGCACGCTGTGATACATATCCACTTCGTTGCGCTTATGGTCTTATGCAGCCTCAAAGAAAGGGTGATATTCGTTTTTCGCGCTTGCAAGTGCCATGGCCATAAGTTTAACAAAATACTTGTACATGAGTATCCCCATACCAATCTGTCCACGCATGCTAGAGATCAACATGGAAAAGAGAAAACAGTACTTCTTTTATTCATTTAAAAAAGAGAAGAACCACATGAGAACGAGTTATGCAGGAACTATCCACGACTGTAACAAGATGATAAACGGTCAGAAAGTGCGATAATATGGCACAAAACTGACAGGCTACTGAGACTTTCATTTAATCTTGTTACAGTCGTAGATAGGTGCTGCACAACTCGTTCTCATGTGTTTCTTCTCTTTCTTACATTTACTAAGGGCTCAGTATCCAAGTTTAAATCTTCTATTAATTAGTTGACTTCTTTTGTAAAAAGATTTTTGCATTGCCAAATTAGTTTGAGTTACCTTTGAAAATTATCATGTCCAACTGCCTTCGTAATTGTCATACTCGCCCAACTGATGTCATCCTCACCCTGCGAATAATCAGCTCATCTCTCTCCTAGCACCACGTACCTCTCCTTCCAACATAATCAAACATCAAGTATACATGTACATGTATATCTTTTTTTAATTATAATTTATTAGAGCAATATCCATGCCCTGCACAGTCACGGCTGCTAAAATCCAGAGGTCATGGCTTCGTTTCATGCATAATGTACATGTACATGTACATCTACATGCACCTGCACATGCCCGCAGAGTTGTGCGGACTACCCTTCACTCTCTCGACCAACCTGGGATACCTGATAAAGGCGGATTCACTCGCATCTTCTGCTACATGTACTGAATCAGTGTGAAAAAGAACTTTGAAGAAGAACTTTGAAGAAGACGATTTCGAGTATACAGTAATGCATTGCCATGAGTTCTACCCTGGGTTTCATTGAAAACACTACTAGTATCAGCATGATCTCCGAGCCCTTACCATACAGACCGCCTGTACTGATAATGCGCATTGTACACAATTGTGTAACCTACGATGTACATGTACTAAAACTAGGGACCGGCGGATTCTGATCGAAAAGGTGGCAGATTCTGCTCGAAAAGCAGTGAAATTGGCAGAACCATACAAACCTTATGGCGGGCAATTCCTCGAATTCTGCTCCATTTCTTTATCCACATACCAAACATGCATGAAACTTACCAGAAAAAGTACCGAATTCTGCCAATTTTTCTGCCGGCAGAATCCGCCGGACCCTAACTTGAACTGTGGTACAATCATGTAGGTATGCTCCTACAATGTATCTCCGAAAGGATGCCAAATTATGCTCCGAATTTCCAGCCACCAAATTATGCCAACAATTATTCCGGGGCAATCCGCCGGTGCCTAGTGGCGAACTGTAGGCACGCTGTGACAGTGTGGTCATCAGATGTATTAGGGAGGTCCCGAATATGCATATTTTCCGCATGTTTTGGTCCTGTTGACACAAGGTCGCATAAAGTAGCAAATCTATATGTAGCATGTTGTACCAAATGTAGCATATTTTCCTACAAGGAGCAAAGAATTTTCATAATTGTCACTGATATCAGTTCATATTTCGAGCATCTTTCGAGCATATTTTTCTGCTTTTCTTTGATTTCGAAGCATATTTTGGAGCAAGTGGCCAATATGTGAAAAGCATAATATGCGAAATTTTTGAGCATATTTGGGCCCTCCCTATCAGCAATAGTGGGTTGGTCAAAGACCATGATTGAGATACGAGAGGTACCTGGTTCAAGTCCTGCCTGGGAGCGGTTTTTCCAGCCGTGCTGCTACCCACAGTCAACTGGGAACTTGTGGCCGGGCACAAGGGGTACATGGATGCAGCTAATGGGGTCGTTTTCGGCACTTGTGCCAGTGGTTGTGAGACTTGCCCACTCACCCCCACCGTTAGGCGCTGCATCTGCCGCTAGGGTTTATCGGGTGTTAGCGGCCGTCGTGAGTTCCCTTCGGGAACGGATACGATAATTTACTTTTTTTATATTTTTTTATCAGCAATGTTCTGCCCATCACACGTCATTGAGGTCAGTACCCTAGGCTGATGCTCCATAGAGGCATCCTGCTCAGAGTAGTCCGCTCAATTGGCCCAAGTTAGTAGAACGTGTGAAAAAAGAGCTACCAACTCGGGTTCTTACTAGTCTCTGCGTGGTTGTGAGGGAAGAGTTGATCTGGGCAGTACACGTCAATAGTGCTCCAATTACAAATACCCGTATGATAAGCATGGGCGGTTGCTTCATAACATTTTTCACATGTTTTCTTCTACATACATGTATATTTTACATGTATTGATGGAGAAGTATCCGAGTTTTGCTATTCCTCTGTTGCATGCATACTTGTATTAGTACCTCATTGATCCCGCTCGTTCCTCATTCTTCATCTCATTAATTTTGGCCTCAGCGAAGACTAGCCAAGCTTCCTTGGCCATGTCAACGCGAAAAGGGTGATAATAGTAATACTAAGTATCCGAGTTAAAAATGTATAGCTACAAAATCCTATAAGAAAGAAAAAGGACAAAGGAACTACACGCTATACATGTATGTCAGTATGGTTGGTCAGTGTCGTGCGATGTTATCTCATCAGCAGATTGTTTAGTTTAAAACTCGGAAGGTTCAAGATTTTGGCGGAGCGCACGTCGTGTGAAACAACTTGTTTTGTAGTCAACTAGTCCATCACAATGTCATGCATGAAGAGTACCGTAGGGGTTTGGCTTTCGGCTTGTACAATTCGTTTTCGCAAAGCTTCCTCCTTCTTTACTTATCTTTGATATTTATGAGCCACCCAAGTTGGGTGGTGTGCTTCTTTTCTGCTTCGAATTGTAGTTAGACCGCTTTGTCAAGTATCCTACTGGTCTCGTCATCGTCCAGGAACAATCGACATTCTTTGTTCCGTTTGGACTGTAGCTTGTGCTTGTTTCGTTGCGCTTACCTTCCCCTCTTTGGTCTTGCCATAACCTTGAACCTTCCGAGTTGGAAGGCTGTCGGTTAGCGCTACGGAGATGTGCTGAAGCTAGTTTTCCGGACGTCGAATGTGTGAGTACTTTGTCAGCTTTGTGCCACGTTGTTGCACTTTCTGACTGTATAGTATCTGGTTACAGTGACGGAGAGTTACTCTTAACTCGTATCCATATGTCCTCTTCCTTTCTGTATTTTTATTTCCTGTATTTTATTTTATTTTTCATGGGGAAGGCGGACAGCCTGAACATGCTGGTGATCAATGAATCGTTTTGAGTTTTGCCCGTACAAGAGGCGGTTCGGTACCGGTGAAAAGGTAGAGAAATTAACCACTCGCCGCACCATCATGTAAAATACGTGACCCCAAATGCCCAGGGACATATGACATATGGACATATAGATAGGTAACAGCCTCTTTGACGGGCTAAAGAAAGAGTCCATGAAACCACAATCAATACGTAAAATAAGTGGATGAACGTAAATCCAGATTTTAACAGAACGGAAGAAAAATCCTCAGTGGAAAACACCCATAAACTATGCAAACTCAATATACGGAGCTAGCTGAAGTGCAGACAACAGTTCGCTAAGATCGAATTCCGAGGTCGTAGTATTCATGTAGCTTATTCATGTACATGTAGGCACAAACCAGTGGAAAGCATAACAATGTTATCATCGGCGCTGCTGAAATCTAAATCTAAATGTGAAGAGCGCACTGCAAAAATGTGGATGCGGTCATCAGGCACTGACAGGTAACATACATGTACATTTGTAATGGGACAAATATGGATGCAGTACATGTGTGTACCCACAGAGTGACTGTACACATGCAACCCAGCTGATACCCGTGCGAACACGTAGATCTACTCACTCAGTGACGAGATAGAACGAAATGTACACGTACATGTACAAGTAGGAGACTGGACCAAGGAAGATTATTTATTTATTATTACTTGCATGTACGCGTTGGAGTCAACCATGCAAGCATGATCCACAACTTCGCTTATGCTGAACATGATAAACAGGGCTATGACGGGAAAAAATGAGCTAAAACGATGATAATATACAATGTAGCTCATGGGTATTGAAGATATGTCATTTATGAATATGTCTATAATTATGAATATAGCAGCCTGAGTGATAATGATAGTGCTATTTCCTGAGTTTGACTGTTTCAGGAAGAACAAAGGCAAAAATCAAAACAATGTTGCACATGTACAAACGAATGTTTTTAATAAGCAAAATTAATGCCAAAATTGATTTATTTAAATGAAAAGAGTAACCCGCGACGGCTTAACTATCTGAATGCCTGAAACCATAATGGCTCAAGTGTTTTGAATGCACGTACGTTGTACATGTATTGTATCTACTTCTAAGTTTTACAACTATTTTATGCCATTACAGTCATGTAGAATGTATTGACTGCCATTTTTTTTAAACCTGTAAATTGTATATGTACATGTACAAATGCACATGTGCGCTGCATGAGTTATCCCCTGCGCGGCGGCAGCGGTACATACATGTACATGTAGGATAAGCAACTGGAGTGCACTCGTACTACATGAACAAAGTGCTTAGCGCCAGGACTGCTAACATGCTGAGGCTTGGTAGGATGGCGTTTCCAGAATTGCAGTCGAAGTACTGACCTGCACCGCAAAGACGACCAGGAAACAACAACATTAATAATGAACCTTTGAAATGAAAGAGGATTCGCATAACATCATAACGTAGACATGATAAGGGGACACAGCTGGAAGATCCCTCCTCCCCCTCCTCTAAGATTGGACGCAAAATTCCCAGGTGATATTTCGTGCAACGAGGGGGAATTGAATGATAGGATAGAAAGACAGAAACATTTACATGTAGATACACGTACAAACACACACACACACAGACACACACACACACACAGACAGACACACACAGACGGACATGCAGACAGACAGACATGCAGACAGACAGACGTACATGTACATCAACTGGCCGCAACAAGAGCATGTGCAATCATATCCACAGTCTCAAGCAAACACACAGACAAGTACGCGCACGCGCACGCGCACGCACACACACAGACACGCACACCCACACAAACATGCACACACAAAAACGCGCACAAACACGCACGCACATAGCGGAAATGATAGACAAAAGGTCTGGGCTCAAGTAAGCACACAGCTCCACTTTTCTATTCACAACTCACCTGCCTCATTGAGTGTGCAGCCGATGCCACGTGCACAGTCAAAAAATGTACTAACAGCTGAATTAGTTGTCGCACTCGCACAGTTCTCCAGCCCTCTGCAGTCCTGACCGGCAGCGCCAGCCAGGCAATCGCAGTGAGGAGCAGTGAAGGGTGAGGACACACACTCCGCACTACCGGGGGGATACAGAGTTGACTGCAGGCACGCGTCTGGCTGTGTGCAGAAGTCACCTGAAAGGACAGCAAGCAAACAAACAACGCACTTGCCGTTACCATGGTACAGCAATGCCGTGTGACGTCACAGCTGTAATTTCTAAGTGCACCAGTGCCACCACTAGGCACCAGTACATGTACAGGTATGACAGTGTGCATTGGGTTACAAAATGGTTTATCACTTCTGAGTGAATTTTTATCGAGATGACAGCAGAAAGACCGCGGACGAACAGAATACCAGTATTAACTTAAAGGAGTTAGTTGATACCGGGAACTGTTAGCCTGGCTGATGTCTGTTCGTCTGAATTACTCAAAGTACGTTGGGTCCGACTTACATGTTCATCCGATCCAAATATTCTCCCCTACACTAGTCTATTGCATCTCCATTGTACTTTATTCGTTGTCTGTTTGTTTTTTGCCCGGCCTGTATTTCGCGTGATAAGAAGGCTTGAAAGCAAACTCGTGCAACATCTGTAACGCATCAATGTTAATGAATCACCCGAAGTGTGCTGTACATTGCACGTCTAAATGTTACTGTCTTATCCTTTTCTGACTACTATCACATGTACAGTAAAACCTGTCAAGGCGACCACTCGGATAAGGCGACCACCTGTCCAAGAAGACCACTGAAACCAGGCTGAAGGGATGCTATTTCCTGTCAAATGACCCTGGATAAGAAGACCACCTGATAACAGAGACCACATTTTGAAAGTCCCTTGAGCGGTGGTCGTCTTAGACAGGTTTCACTGTATTATAGATTGGCGGGCCAAAACAGTTGAACTACTTCTCCTACACATATTGTCATGGAAACTGTTACTTACGAACATCGAGTACGGCGTTGGCCCGTTGCATGCCACCAAGGACGGTCGCAGAGCACGTTACAGTAAAAGTAGTTGAAACGAAGGTATCAGGACTGACGTTCGCGGTGATAGGGTCGATGGTGAGCGTGTTGCCTCCTTGCGCTGAGAAGCGCAAGCTGTCCATGGGCAATTGTGGAGGGAAAGTCCAATTCACCCCTGCTGATGTGATGGGCAATACGCTGGTACAGTTGAAGGTGACGCTGGAGCCCGTGAAGACATCCACCCTGGAAGGCGTCACAGTGAGTCCTTAGATGGGAAAAAAGATGGGAAGTGAAGAAAAAACAAACCGCGAGAAGACAAAAAATCTTAGAATCTTACTAAGGGGAAGCTTATTGGATGGGCATATGAATACTTTGGTAAACGATATCAATCGATGGATTAAAATGTGCATTAACAAAAATGAATGGAGATGCAATAGTGAGGATGACACTGTGTAGTGTTGCATTGTGCATTACAATAATGCCTGTAACTAAAGACCACCGTGACTAACGATCAGCCTGGAACTACAGACCACTTCGCCTGGCACGGACGGTCTCACATTCCATAATATGATTGTCCGGTGCAAACCTCTAACTAAGGACCACTTGCCACTAAAGACCGTTTTCTCTGGCCCCAAGGGGTGGTCGTTAGTCACAGGCTTCACTGAAGTTCGACGAGGATTCCTGACGAGTGCTGAACTAAACGTGCTCGAATCTTCATCCATCGTTCTGTTCACCATTCCATCTCCTTTACGTTTTTTACTCTTCTTGGGAACTTGGGATCAATCCCGCGTGTACTCATTGTGCTCTGCAATATAAGTCATATAACCTACAGCAGAGCTGCTCTATAAATGAAGTTGCATACCCGGTTCATGGTGAATTTTACAGCGACGGACTATTCAATAAAATTTCAAGTCTGAAGACTTGGCAACTTAACGCCTGCTCCTCACTCTTGCGCTATGATACCCCTCAGAATTTCCACCCTTGCTCACCCTTGTGTTCAGTCTGCCCGTTTTGAAGCCATCAGTTGCCTGATGATCGTAGTAATACGTGAAATTCAGAGCTGTGACAAAGCTTCCAATCTCTCTTGTGTACTTAAAGTTTAACAAGCAATTCATTGATTTGACGCACAGATTGGTGAGGTTGCTTACGTTCTGGGTAGAGTTCTGTGCACTGAAGAAGCCTACTGTATAACACCTTTATTTCGGTGTAATTTAAATTTCGGTAACTTCGGTACTGGTCCTGGATCACCTAATTTAACATTACACCTAAATTTTCCGAAATACCAAAATATGTAAAAATCATGAAAATCACTGTCAAATTAAAAAAATCAACTTGTATACTGGTATACCGGTAGTACATTGTACATACATAACATGTACCGGCATACATATGTGGAGCCTTTTGGCCTTGCTTGGCGGAGATATTAGTGCAAGAGCGTTTTTTTTTTTTTTTTTTTTTTTTTTTTGGTGCCATGAATAGGGATTCCAGTCAAAATTTCAAATTCATAATTCAAGCTAGCTTGTTCTTGGACAATGTCACCGAGGAAATGAGAAATCCTATGGTACCAATTTTATCAAAATCGGTCCAGGCATTCGAAAGTTATAGCCATTTTTCTACAGCGAAATGGGTGTATTTTTCTCTGGCGATCAAATGGGAAATCGGCTCAAAACATGGTCAAACTACTGCACAGCCACCACCTAGCTACATACATTTTCACACGAATCCGAGATGAAATTTTGTCACAGTTTACAGCCGGCCTCTTATCCTTGCCTTGAGCGGATGACATACGCACGCTTCGATTCGGCGAACCTACCCCTCTTCTTCACACGGCTTTGGCCGACAAGGACGTCAAGTCACCAGCACGGCTTTGGCCATTGCCGACAAGGACGGCAAGTCACAAACACGCCAATGTTGATGTTGTCGATGCCTTCCTTTGCAGAGCTTGCAAGTAATTTAGTTGCGAACCAAATCCAGAAGACGCTGTCGATGGGAGCTGGGATCAGGCTGATCATGGTGAGAGATACTGCATCAGCTCCAACACCAACCAGTTCGATCGGTAATGACGGCAGCTCACTGTTCTCCGCCAGCGCACGAGTCGTAAATCCAAGCCGCCGCCTGTTCTCCTTGTTCCTCGCAAACAGGAGATAGTACAGAATCGTGTACTACGTCGTGCTCACTAGGCACAGCGCAATCCTGGTCTTCGTGCTGCTTGATACTCGCGATCAGCTGACTGCGCTGGGGGTAACACCTAGTTTCTAGTGTAGATCTACTCTTCTTCCTCGCACTTGAAAAAATCGCCATGTCGGAGGTGCTTTTAGTCCTACTCGGCGCGCTCAAATTTTGTTGCGCTGCTCTACCTTGCTTGAAAAAACACCGGCATGGGTGATTCCGAAAGGTTTTTGGGTGCTGAAGCTGAAAATCGGTTTAAGAATCCCCTAAGATGCCATTTTAGACTTGAAAATCGCCTTCAATTTCTGCTTTGACTGATCGCAATGGCCCAATTTCGCCGCACGGCGATCAAAAACCCCACATTGGACAGCTGAAAACCTCAGGAAGCCACTGGTGACTTCAAAAATCCTCCAGAACTTACGATATCTCAGCGCACTGGCCTAGAATGAGCCGTCATCGCGCGACCAAACTTTTGTGTGTAGCGCGTGGAGAAAGTCCTCGAACCCAGTCGGCCAGATCCTGGAACCCCTACCATGAACACCGAATTTATCCTTACACCGAAAGGTCAGGGGTTGGCTTTTACCGAAATTTTACAACACCGAAAATAAGGTGATATACAGTATCTCTTGGGGTGGCCGCATTCGCGACGCAGTCGCGCACGCTTCTGCAGGGAGCGCCAGCATTGCCGGACAGGCACGTGCAGTTGTACTGGGCCGAAATGAAGGGTGTGCCGGAGACCGAAACAGTGGACAGGCCGCTTGTGCATGTCGCCGAGCCCAGGGCATAGTTGAAGCGGCGAAAGCAGTAGAAGTACTCCTCCAGACACAGATCATTGTCTAAAAATGAAAAATCATCGTAGAGAAAATAACGGAAAAGTACAGTTCAACTACATGTGTAGGTAGAAAGAAGGATGCAGACATCACTGAACACAAGAACATCCGCTGTACATGTACATGTAGTAAACCTTTTTTTCTAAAGAATCGCAATTCAGCACACGATACACGAAAACTGTGATTCTGGAGAAACGAAGTGTACTAGAACCTGCATCTACATCTCCAATCCTGTGTTATGGTGGTGAGTGATGTGTAGGAATGCGTTCGTGAAAGGCAAGTAGAACAGCAGCACAAGAATTTGACAGTTTCGAACTTGATTGACCCGGCGGTTTCCTGTCTCTCCCCCCCCCCCCCCCTCCCCACACACACACACACACACAAAATTCATATACAGCGCCGTTGTTGCTTTCAGTAATATAGGTGAGCCATACTCCAGATGCTTAATTCCATGAGAAATGTCGAGCACACAATCTCTTTCTCTCAAATTGCAAAGAAGCAGAATTACACTGTTTATAACATTTTCGGACTATTAGTATTTTTACTATATTACTTCTGTGCTATATATACTGCTATTGTCTGCGGCTATCTTCTCTGCTTACCTATTGTTATAGGTGTTAGGTACCACCTCCCGTACCTTTTCTAGCTGGCCTGCATGCACTTGCGTACTCACCTTTTGTCTCCTTTTGTTCCGTTGGCCTGGGTAGCTACTTGCGCGCCCATATTTGCCATAGCTACCCAGGCCCTTTATCTTGCCGTTCAGACTCTCTCTCTTTTCGCACTCGTCAATAATCACCCTGTAGTCGTTTCGTTCGTCTTGGTCTCTTGTCCCGTCTCTAATAAATGTCGTTCCACCACTAACTTGTTCTCGTTGTCAGTCGTCCTAATTCGAATTCTACATAGGTATACATGTACCTGTAATTTGTAATTTGTAGCTACAAGCCAGGGTCCTTGGTTCGAGTCCTGTTGGTGACAGTCAATTTTTTCTTCAGATTTTTCCCGGTTGTGTCTTTCCCTCAAACTAGTCAAGACATGCACATGTACATCTTTCTACGCTGCTTATAGTCTCCCTTGTTATTAGTTGTACAACCATGATATAATGACTCATATTATAATATTACAACATTGCGTATAATGAGTCACTTCAAACAAACCCTCACTACCTTTGCGTGCCTCCTGTGTGCTAGAATTGGGTGTAGAGAAAACCTTCTGGTTATTGCGCCACACATACTTGTATTGGACTACTGATGTTGCTGCCAGGAAACTTACACAGCGTCACAGTAGCGTCGTCGCTCGTGGACACCTGCGTTGCGCACCTGAAATGGATAACCGCACGGATGTTAACCAAGCTATCAGCAGGCATGACTACCCTGGCGACGCGCAGGACAATCGTTTCCGAATTCTGGCCGCTGATGGAGAAGTTCGTTCCCTCCGGTAGTACCGCCGAATCATCGGCGAAAGACCAGTCAATAGGCAGATTACTAGGGTTGCCATCCATATCGACACACGTTGCGCGGAGCGTGCCTGCACCAATCAAGTCGGCTTGGTCAAGCATAACGCGGACATCTGCAGCAAGGGAAGAGGCATTATAAACGAAAACGGCGGCAGGAAAGGATCAATAATTAGAAGTCTAGTTTAAATCCAAAATTGGCAATCTGAGTTTGTGTTGTACAAATCTAGATAACTTGAAAACAACTGGACCTCCTGCACTTTGAAACCCGTACGGTTCTTCATCGTCATATTTCAACATTGAAAATCCATGGATATTTTAATGGTATTATTATTGCCTTGACTTCGCCAAGCAAGCTTGGCTATTCTTCCACTAGGCCAAGTAGAATGCAGAATGAGGAACGAGCGGGTACGATGGAAAATAATTTAGGAAACCAAAACATGAAAGTTTTAGAAAAATCATTGCATAGTTATGGCGTGGCAAAATTCATAGCAAAGCAGATGTATTTAGTGTTATGTTCTCATGGTGTGTAAAACTAGTCCTTGGCGAATATTGCTCGATAAATTGGCTATCATTTTTGTTATATCTAGAGTGATATTCACTCGCCTACTTTTCAAGCATCCATCTGGCGTCCTGTACCTGCCCACATGTACCCCACACTATCCATCTCAAAATAGGGTTTGACTAAGGTGGGCTTGACAACCAGGGCGGTTTTCGTGCCAAAGAACGAATCTGAATATCACCTTACGTTCAAGTCTAATGTTAGCTTCAGCCTCGGGATCATGGACTGATATTCGCTTCGGCTTCACATAGTATTATACCTTATGATTACTATGGAAATAGGCTTACTTTGAGCATGTCCAGAACTGACGAATGCGACCAGAATCAGCAGAAACGCACCGACGCTACCTCTTACGGAGCAAGAACATTGGAACAGAAGCGCCATTGCAGCAATCACGTACGTTTATCTGAACCTCAGAAAGTTTGGCTCCTGTCAGACCAATTTGGCTTGCTGAGATTTGCTTTGTGGGTTGTCAGCCTCTTATCACCTGACCAAGTACTAGTACACAAGTTGAAATTCTCTTCCAAGGAGGTTTCTCTTGCCCGGCTTCATGAAACTGAAATAGTTACTGAGGAGGGAGTAAGCCCAGCTGTCTTTTATAAGGACCGCGACTGGAGCTGAAGATGCGGCGAAAACCTCTGGCGGACAGGCACTGCCAATTCAGCTTGCATATGCCGGATTATACGAAGGTAATACCAAGGTAAATCAATACCAAACAAACGCCAATGTACAAGTGAAATCAACAGGTACATGTGGGTGTGCAGCTGGCTGACGGAGTGCTCCTCTGAGATCTAGTACAGTACTGGCATTCACAAGTAAGTTGCCGCATCACCAGTCCACCAGAAACCCCGGAATGAAGACATTTCCCATCAACACTTCGTTGCATCCTGCCCTCTGCGCCGCAATGTTGTACTATGAAATATCGCGTGGGCAGTGGGCAGTAACTCGCGGGCATGGTGCCGAACTGAAGTTGCACGCACTGCTTGGTCATCAGACCCCTATCTAGCCCTAGCTAGAGTTCTGTGACTGGACTCCTATTGACGTAAACTTACTTAGTCTACCGTGATTTTGTTCAACACTATTACATGTAATAATTTTATTATAGCCATTGAATGAATGATTTCGGGTATGAGTATGAATCGACACACAGTCGTGTGCATGACAAACTTTCTCTCTTGACACCAGAGAGTGACCTGACGAATCCTACTCAGGCTACAGGTCGCTCCTCGACCATTGGTACTTGGCGTGCAGCTTGGTACCCGCGATACTGGGGTGCACTCCAATGCAACGCTCGAGCGCTCCACTACTAGGCACTAGAACTAGCCGTTCCTAGAATGAGGCACTGGCGCTGGCTGTTTTACGGATTGAGTTCTGCTTGGGCCCGGAATGTTCATTGAATGTATAATCACGCAGTATTATTATGTACATGAGGCGTCGACTGTACTCTGTAGTTTTATGCATGGCGTTGTTGGTGCTGAGTGCGCAACTAACTCGTTTCGCGGCGTGAATATCTTTTGAATTTCGCCACGGAAACATTACATAGTAGCGTTGCAAACATGTCGCCTTCAGAACATGAACGACAGCGGGATTGGATCAGTATCATGCGTGTCCATCATCATTCTCAACATGTTCCTGTCTAGATTGCCCGTGCAGTGCATAGTTTGCGCGGGTGGCGAACTGTTGGCACGCTGTGGCAGTGTGATCGTCAGCAATGTCCGTGCCCATCGCACGTCATTGAGTTGAGTACCCCAGGCTGATGCTCCAAAGAGGTATCCTAGTCAGGGTAGTCCGCTCAATTGGCCCAAGTTAGTTGAACGTGGGAAAGATGAGATATACTACACCGATCAGTGTTCTTCGCAATACTAGTCTTCGCGTGGTTGTGAGGGAAGAGTTGATTTGGGCAGTAGTATCAATAGTGCTTCTATTACCGGTAGGGTTCGAGTGGGAGCTTTTACTAGCCTTTGGCCAAAATACATCCACGTGTACAGATTTGATAGAATGTCCCATGCCTGGGAACTTTATAAATCGATTTGCGGCTACACATCGAATGGAACAAAACTAACCAGTTCCAAGGCGCCGCATCCTACTTGTACATGTACATGGCTTTTAATATCAAATTTTGCTTTTGATCATACAGCCATGTACATGTACATGTATGTACATGTACATGTATGCTGTGACGTGTATTGATTGAATACCTGTCTATTCAATGACGTACATGCAGCTGTCAATCAACAACTAACTGAAAGCAGCTAAGTCAAGAGTGCTCTGTACAGCATCTACCGGAAATACCCATCCCTTACATATTTCAACAAATACAAACACCAGCGTAACTATGTAAAATGCCTTTCCAGATCCTGCCATCGCTGCTACATCCGCCACCTCCGTGCGACGATATCTCCCACAAACCCTCGACTCCCATCCCTCATCCCTGCAATTGTCCAGAATTAAAGACCTCTGATCCCTAAAAGACCAGCGGCAGGTCTCCTGCATCTGTTTCTTCGACCTCTCCAAGGCCTTCGACATCGTGTGGCACAAAGGCCTGATCGCCAAACTTCGTGCCCATGGTGTCTCCGGCTCCCTACTCGCCGGGATAACCAGCTACCTCTTGGACCGAAATCAGTGCGTCACAGTGAATGGAACCTTATCTGACCCCGAGTCTGTGACATCCGGAGTACCCAGGGCTTCATTCTAGGTCCCCTGCTCTTCCTCACATACATGTACATGTACGTTAATTAATGACTTCCCCTATGCAATTCCCAATATTTCTTTGTTTGCAGATGATACCACAGTCCCCATCTCACGCCACCCTGTACCCCAAAGTTCAGACCTGTATCAACAACATTGTTCACTGGTTGAACACTTGGTACCTTAAGCGAAATGTGACCAAAACCGAGCTCCTCCTTTTTCCTCCTCCCCCAGATCCAGTGCCCATCTTCCACTTTCCGGATGATCCCGGTCACCCTATCTCTGTAGCACCCCACCATAAACACCTTGGCATTGTCAAAGATTCCGCCCTCTCCTGGTCACACCATGCTGATCATGTGTCGTCCAAAGTATGCCGATCTGTCGGCATAATGTCAAGTCACTTGTCCCATTTGCCCCAAAATTGCGGGATTAATTTTTTATAAATCATACATTCTTCGCCTCTTCACGTACGGCTTCCCTGCCTGGTCCACCATTAACAAAACCCACATACATGTAGGTAAATTAGAAGTTCTCCATCGCCGTATACAGCGCATCATTTTTCGTACTGATCGTTATATCTCAAATCTAGACGTGTATGCTGCTGCATCCACTACCACTCTGCAACACTACCTTGATGCTTCCAAGTGCACCCTGGCACATTCAATTTTTCTTGACCAGCACCCTGCTCATTTACAGTCAGGTGGCACCACCCGAAGCTGCGTTCGTCTCCCCCTAGCTAGGTCTACCCTATTCGTAAATTCCACTTTCTTTTCCTCCTACTCCACGTGGCTCCAACTGCCTCCCAGTGTTAGACAAGCTCCAGATATGCCCAAATTCCGTACCCTCGTCAGACAACACTTCAGTATCTTCCAGTAAACAAAGTCACAGTCACCACTTCCGCTGCATAGCTCGCTGAGCATCCCATTGCTTTGTAAGTTGCTAATCCCTTCCCACTTTGTGTACGTGCTCTTCATTTCTTTTCTTTTTTCTCTTCTTCCGTGGTTAGGCTCACCCTCTCCTCAATTCAATTGGCTGTCTTGACATGCCACGAGGTGCAGAAATAAATAAATCAAGTAAATAAATTAAATAATTACTTACTTTGAAGAGCTGAGAAAGACTACTATTACTACAAGTATTTCTTTTCTTTTTTCTCTTCTCCCGTGGTTGGTCTCACCTACTCCTCAATTGGCTGTCTTGACATGCCACGAGGTGCAGAAAAAAATCAAATAAATAAATTAATTATTACTTACTTTCTAGAGCTGAGAAAGACTACTACTAGTACAACGTAATATTGCATGTACACACGGAAAGTTGGGTGTGGTCCTCGAAAGAGTGCTCAATGCACCGGGGTGCAGAGCTTCATACAAAAGGAATAGAATACGAAGCTTGGGTTGGCTGTGACTCCGAGTTTCACGCCTATGGCGCTCATCAGACAGCAATGATTACAAAAACTCAATGAATGCTCTCGATATAGTGTGGTAAGGTGCCAGTGGAATCAGAGAATTTAAGCGCAAATAAGGTCAAGCGGTGATTCTATGCATGTACTTGCAAGATTAGCGCCAGACATCAGGAGTAATCCTGGTTTATGTAACTGGAGGTGTGAAGTTAGATAGGTAGAATTTTGTCTCATGTCTGCACTTGGCCACTAGCTCCGATCGCTCCGATCCCACCTGGCTCACGCCTAAACAAAATATTCAACAGTAACACAGTAAAAGTAAGTTACAGCTGCATGCAGAACATGTCTGGTGTACTAAAGGCGCAGAACAATTCGGTCTTGCGGAAGAAGCAGAAAGATGATCAACAGAGAACAGAAAAGATACAACTGCAGGGATAAAGTTAACTGCCCCATGCATGGAAACTGCCAGATCCAGTCAATCGTATACAAGGCCAGCGTGACAGAAACCGGAAAAGACGAACGAAATGAGTACCTCGGCTTAACGGAAATGACGTTCAAGAAGCGATACGACGGACACATGACGTCAATGAGGCATGAGCGAATGGAGAAGAGTACCGAGTTGTCGAAGCTCATCTGGGATATGAAGCGCAAGAATGCCGGGTACAGCCTCAGTTGGTCAGTTGTCGCCCAAACACCAGCATACTCCAATGCCACCAAGCGCTGCCCTCTCTGTCTGCGTGAGAAGCTGGAGATCTTGCATGCTGACAGAAGGGTGAACATCAACAAGCGATCGGAGCTAGTGGCCAAGTGCAGACATGAGAAAAAATTGTACCTATCTAACTTCACACCTCCAGTTACATAAACCAGGATTACTCCTGATGTCTGGCGCTAATCTTGCAAGTACATGCATAGAATCACCGCTTGACCTTATTTGCGCTTAAATTCTCTGATTCCACTGGCACCTTACCACACTCTATCAAGAACATTCATTGAGTTTTTGTAATCATAGCTGTCTGATGATCGCCATAGGCGTGAAACTCGGAGTCACCGCCAACCCAAGCTTCGTATTCTATTCCTTTTGTTTTGTAATATTGCATGTATGTTGTACAGTGCATACATCTACATGTACATTGCCTGTATTCAAGAGCTGACACAAAACCAGGACCATATGGCCGGGGCAGGTTGACAGAGAGTGTACAGAGGGAGCGATCAACTAGACTAAGACCAACCAACCATACACCAATATGCAACATGCAGATGTCACATGGCAATATCGGCAACATCATAGTCTCTTGACTCCCGTGTTCGTGTCATGGTGGATACCACTACACAAGAGAGAGAGAGAGAAAGAGAGAGAGAGAGAGAAAGAGAGAGAGAGAGAGAGAGAGAGAGAGATAGATAGAGAGAGAGAGAGAGAGAGAGAGAGATAGAGAGAGAGCGAGAGAGAGAGAAAGAGAGAGAGAGAGAGAGATAGAGAGAGAGAGA